TGAATGAAAAACCTAATAATTGTTTCCGAAATGCGAGCTGAAAGGTCCTATGCGGTCGAAGGGCTGCACATATGTATGGGCAGCGTGGGCTCCAAGGTTTTGAAGGACGAATTGCAGAAAAGGCAACTCAGCTCAAATTAACTCAGCGATGATGAGTTTTAACACTAAGAATAAGAAACCCTGGAAAACGAATAGAACCCAGAAATGGGAAACGCCCTTCCCTCGCCCGTTGAATTCCGATTCGGAGCCACCATCTGTGCACCTGATGAGTGGACGAGTAGCGCTGAGGGCACCGCCTCCTCCGATCAAAATGCAACGCGACCACTATCAAGTCGTGCGTGAAATAAAACTGTTGCGTCGGAGTTGCTCAAGAAATTTGCCCATTGTGTGCCCAAAAGTTTAAAAGCCACCTCGACGTCCGCTGGTAGACCGAAATATCCAAAAGTTTAATGGACGGATCCGAAGCTGTCTTTGATTATCTATCAGAGCAAGGAATAAAGCAGCGGAATAAAGCAGCGATATTCCTCCTTTGGAGAAGGCTCCAACTCAAATTCAATTTACGAAGGCAGTCTTCACAGAGGGTGCGCTGCAGTTCTCCTCCTCGGATCAGGTCACTTGAAATTGAGACACCACTCTTCGCCGAAGCAAGCTTAGGCTGCTTTGATAGTTTGCCGACCGCGCGGAGAGAGTGAAAAGTATGAAAAGTAGTGGTAAGAAATGACCTTATCTTTCGAATTTCGGGTGTTTTGGAACGTCAGAACCGGTAAAGCGATTTCCCGACTTTGCTAATCGAGCGATTCGCTTGCGTTTGCGGTCGCGTCGCGGCCAGTGGATCACTCAATTGGCTGGTACCGCTACGCGACCGCTAGGAGCGAATCGCGCAATTCGCAAAGTCTGACATCGGCCTAAAGCGGAGGAAGCGTTTGGTGGGATAAAGTGCATTTCGTAAGTTTTTAGCCATTTTCAAGCTTTTGAAAAAGCGAGTCCGTCGAAACGTGGCCGGAATAAAATTTACCACCTATCAGAGTGAAAAGCGTCAACACGCGCTCTGGCGCACGATGCGTACTTGGCGCGAGTCGGCGACTTTCGATCGGTAAATTCAGTTTCATTACATTTCGCTCTTATTTTTCAGGTGTTCCACGTGTCCACGTGTGGAGAAGTGAAAGTCTCCCCTTAATACGCTGGTAGAGTGTGAGGATAGTTTTATCGAGAACGTTTTGGAGACAAGGTTTTCGGGTGCTAACTTAGTTGGGGGGGGGCCACGCGGCGGCGCGGCAGTCTGCTCACCTGGGCTCTCTCGAGCGAGACAGTGTAAACTCGAACATTCCAGCTTTTCACGCATGTCAAGTGACTGCCCCCACCCCCCCCCCCTAGACTGCCTACACTCCCCCTGGCCCACGGATTTCCGAACATGCCAGGCGAGCAGACTGCCGCGCCGCCGCGTGGCCCCCCCCCACTAAGTTAGCACCGGTTTTCGTGTTTGTCTTCTGAACCTTTTCAAGTTTTTTAATGTCTCCGACGATGTATGTATGACCCTGAGCCCATATTCCATAATTGGAAAGATCATCGCAGTATGGCCAGAAATTTATGAACAAACGGTTTTTTCATGATTTCTCTTTTGAAAGTCACTGCAACGTCTCCAAATTTGCAACAATTATTAACTACGTGTTTTATGATCCACAGAAAATTTCAACCTTCAGCTCAAATTTGGGTTTAGAAAATTTTAGATTTTTCGAAATTAATGAAGGCAGGTGAAAGATCACTTGATCCGTTTATTTGATTTAAATAATGTATAACCCAACAGAACAGTCAAGTAAACAGTCACTAACATTAAGCAAGTCTAGCACATTGCCCAGAACTCTCTAAAGTATTGGATACATAAACTGGATTTGAATGCGGGGTCAACTAATGAACTCACTCTTTAGTGGGGTCTCTCTCTGTAGTCCCGTCCTTTTCGTGGCTCTTTCATTGACATACGAATTTGTAGGTCCTCCCCTAGTGGTTCTGTAATGTTTGGCTCAAGAGTCTGGCCTGGCTGGTCTTTTAAAAGCACCCCATGCTGTCGAAACCACTCCTGCATGTGAGAGGCCCGATGCTTTGAGTCGCTGCTCTGCTGACAGACAAAGCCAGGTCGTGTGGCAGCCATGTCTACGGATACATGACACCTTCCAAAACATGACAGCAAACGTCTGCCTTCATCGCTACCTCAGTCGTGTAGCGTGGTCCCACTTTTTTCCAAGGCAACCTTATCAAGCCTCCGCCAAGTTTCACAATTGGCAGCTGATTCTTTGGATCAAAACGTTCCCTCTCGTGGTGCCGTACATTACTAGTATCCTTGCTGTCATGCATCAGTAATATGTTTTTGTCATTCCAGATGACCTTAGAAACCTGTATCAACCTTCGTTTCAGGCTTAGTCAATCACATTCTACTCCCACCCACTTCACAGCGAGCGCTCTTCTTAGACTTTGAGAACTAAGGAATACGTAGTATAGACTTAGATTCTAGAAGATGTTATGTATCCGTAGACATGGCTGCCACACGACCTGGCTTTGTCTGTCAGCAGAGCAGCGACTCAAAGCATCGGGCCTCTCACATGCAGGAGTGGTTTCGACAGCATGGGGTGCTTTTAAAAGACCAGCCAGGCCAGACTCTTGAGCCAAACATTACAGAACCACTAGGGGAGGACCTACAATTCGTATGTCAATGAAAGAGCCACGAAAAGACGGGACTACAGAGAGAGACCCCACTAGAGAGTGAGTTCATTAGTTGACCCCGCATTCAAATCCAGTTTATGTATCCAATACTTTAGAGAGTTCTGGGCAATGTGCTAGACTTGCCTTAATGTTAGTGACTGTTTACTTGACTGTTCTGTTGGGTTATACATTATTTAAATCAAATAAACGGATCAAGTGATCTTTCATCCTGCCTTCATTAATTTCGAAAAATCTAAAATTTTCTAAACCCAAATTTGAGCTGAAGGTTGAAATTTTCTGTGTGGATCATAAAACACGTAGTTAATAATTGTTGCAAATTTGGAGACGTTCCAGTGACTTTCAAAAGAGAAATCATGAAAAAACCGTTTGTTCATAAATTTCTGGCCACTACTGTATATGATTTGAAGAGCCTAATCCAATTGATCGTAATAACTTCGTATAGCATACATTAGGTGACCAAGCGTGAACGTTTTGTTGTCTGACTCAATACTGAATGTTCACTCAGATTTTTTGGCGCTCTAATTCTTTTATTTGCTCAACGTATATCAAGGAACTCTTATCCGGAAAATGAAGTTGTAACAGTGTCACTTTGAGCAAAAACGAGTACTTTTTGCTGGAGTTGATTCCTAAGCTTAGAAAAGAGCCCAGCTGAGCATGCTTCCAACGGAACTGGTCAGCACAACCTGAGCTTCATGCCTGTCCTATTCGATTATGAGATTATTTGAGATCTAGGTCATGATTCTTGTGGGAGTGTTAGCATTGCCGAATTATTTTTTAACGAGTGGGCACGAATTCCGTGGCTACATTTGATCCTAGTCTCCAACCGAGGAAAGAGCGAAGATTTTCTTGTGAGGTAGGATTCGGTGAATTCCCGGATACTATATAAGCATGAACAACAACAGAGTTGTTAAGCTGAACTACATTTACAGCAGAACCATATTTGCGAACAATTCCTTCCCGACGATTTTCACATCTATGTGCTCTTTTCCTTTTGGCCGCGTTCATAGTTCGCGACTCCGGATATAAGGATAGCGCGCGACAATGAAAAACATATGTATTGACGGCGAGACTAGGATAGTAGTAGAGTAGGAGATTGCGCTGACAAGATTAGATACGTATCGATTGAAATCGCCGGAGAGTAGTAGATTGCGATATTACGATAGTAGGATAGTAGTAGAGTAGGAGATTAGGATAGTAGTAGATTAGGATAGTGCGCTGACAAGATTAGATATGTATTGATCTATTCGCTTGAAGTCGCCCAATCTACTACTCTCCAGCGATTTCAATCGATACGTATCCAATCTTGTCAGCGCAATCTCCTACTCTACTACTATCCTAATATCCTATCGCTTACTATCCTAATCCCTCGAGTCGCGATTCATGAACGCGACCTTAATCAGAAATATGTAAGGAGGGCTCTCTGAGGGAAGAACGTGGACTCGGAACTTTCGGAACGTTGCTCTCTCTAGAAGCCACTCTGAAGGAAAGCGTCAAGGGCCGGGCCAGGCGCATCTTCTGACTCCCCGTAGAAAAGGCAGTACCTGAAATAATTCAAGGCCTAGATTCAGAAAACCAGGTACACATTGAAGGTCAGCAAAGAGCCCTTGTTTCACTTTCACCGCAAAGGGGGCCACAAAACTGGTGGTACTCTCCTGCTGAGCCCCCTTTTTTCAGTCGATAATTCACCATGTGTGTTTCAGTCCTACTTTTAAGTGCTTACTTCTTACTGTTGCTGCGACGCGTATTGTGAATTTCGTGACACACACACAGATACACGTATAGACACACCCACACACGCACATACATGCACGCACACAGGCTTCATACAAAACAAGTATCATGGTGAGATGAGATAACTTATCACCTACCGTTAAATCGCGTTTATCAGCACTCATATACACTGCCAGTTGCTGGTGAGCTTCAGTTGCGCTCTGCAGCAGCGATCTCC